TGGAGAGGGGACGTGGTGTCTGAGGACATAGGAGGGGACCCGGTGTCTGATGACACAGGAGGGGACGCAGTATCTGAGGACAAAGGAGGGGACCCAGTGTCTCATGACACAGAAAGGGACCCGGTGTCTCAGGATGGGAAGGGGACACAGTGTCTGATGACACAGGAGGGGACGCGGTGTCTCAGGATGGGGAGGGGACACGGTGTCTGATGACATAGGAGGGGACGCGGTGTCTAATGACATAGGAGGGGACCCGGTGTCTGAGGACATAGGAGGGGACACAGTGTCTGATGACATAGGAGGGGACGAGGTGTCTGAGGACATAGGAGGGATGCCGTGTCTCAGGACGGGGAGAGGAAGTGTCCTGGTGGTCCCGTGGGGCCCTAGTGGACTTGTGGTTCGATGAGCAGGCCATGCAGGGACGAAGGCCTCCAGGATCCGTGTGGAAGCCAGCCAGCTCCTCACCTGATGTGGAGAAGCACATCACAACCCACCCAGCCCGTGCATCCCTCCCAGCAGTGGTCAGTACCAGTATGGAGCTGCTCCTCCTGGCCATCACCTCAAAGAGGGTCACCACGGAGATGAACTGGCCAGCCTGATTCCTAGGCCTCCTGCATGGGTGCCGCCCTCGCCGTCGGGGTCCACTTCCACTAGCATCCCGGCCCCCTGAGGGTCCTTCCTGCACCTACAACCAGAAAGCAGGATGTTAAACACTGATACATGGAGGCCAGCTTAACGACAGGACCCCTACACCGCAGGACTGAGGAAGCGTGGCCAGGAAGTAGCTGCTACCACTGCCCATTACCACCAGGGGTCCCCGGGCAAGCAAGGCAGCCACTCTGAGTCACCCACTGCTGCTGCAGGACAGAGGCCTCAGCCGGAGCTTCTGATTCTCACCAGGCCCTCAGCTGAGTGGTCATACACCAGCCTCCGCTGCGCCCGTATCCCCATCCATGTCCTCGTCCCAGCCTGACATACCCAGTCCACTTGGCTGCAGCCACAGCCATGAACCACCAGTGTCCAGGGGACAGCAAGCCATTCTGAAGCCAATCCCGAGGGCTGTCTCTTAGGGCTACAGGGTACCCATCATCCCACTGATCAGAGCCCAGGATGGAGATTGGGGAGCTCAAGCCAGTGACCAGCAAGGTCAGGGGAAGTCAGTCCTATAGGACAGGTGAGCCAGTTCTCCCTGTCCTAAGGGGCAGGTGGGGCCCAGGGGCCCAGCAGAAGCAGGGCTGAGACCACCACAGCCTCAAGGGCACAAGGAGATTAGCCCAGAACCAGGGGTCACAGGTGCACGGGGCAGAACAAGGGAGTCACAGAAGAACCCGGGGTCATGCACAAAGATGGCAGAACCTGGGAGTCATGGAGACAGTGAAACCTGGGGGTCTTGGCAGAACCTGGGGCACCACATGCAGACAGCGGGCACACCTGCCCAAGAGCAGCATGACCTTCCCTAGTGAGCTGCAGCTACTGCATGAGGACCAGCATGGATGCAGTGAGAGAACCAGGGCCACACCCCCTTGACCCAGTGCTCCCCTGCCCACTAAAGTCCAACCCTCCACGGGCTCGCTGACACTGAGTCCTCGAGGGCCATCCTGGGGCACAAAGGGTCTGCAGGACAAGTGCACGTTACCACCACACCCCTGCACCCCCACACTGTGGGCCTCTATGACACGGTGTTCATAACCAAGAACATCTGAGGGCTCTAGGGCTTGGCCAGGCTGGCTCACTGCCACCGATAACTGCACTGCAACACACACGTGATCCCGCCTGTAGGAACCCCACACTGACACATGTGCCATTAAAGGCCTTGCCTCAGGAATGCGCTCTCATGTGTCTTCAGGAAGATAAATTTGCAAGTGTGCACATACACACAGAGACAATGAGACAACACACACGTGGTGTGATACTAATGCGAGCAATCAGGGGGAAAGGAAAACACTCGCTTTGTGTACTGTTTCTGCAACTCTTTTGCAAGTCTGTAATGATTTCAAATAACAAAGTCTAAAGTTTGGTTTTTGGTACCAGTTATCCCCAGGACATAGCATGAACTGGTTTACCGTTTACTCCACCTTGAAATATTTACACTGCTCCCTCTTTCCTATCCTACATAACACTAAAGATAATGCCTTTTATCGTTTCAGATTTTAACCCAATTCTCAGATGCTAATGAGACAAGTAGAGATCAAAGTATAAATCACTGTGTGGCCAGCAGCACCACATGAGGCAGTCAGAAGCACTACAGGCGAGAGTCTCCTTCCCTACCCAGGACTGGATGTTTGTTCTATACCTGCATTTACACTGGGCCAAGGACGGAGCAAGGCTGACTACTTCTATTCCACAATGTATTGGAAGTCCTACTCCGTGGAGCAAAGAGGAGAAGAAAATGAAAGTCATCAGATTGGGAAAAAAGAAGGCATAAAATTAGCTTGTTTGAGAATGACATGATTGGCTATGTAGAAAATCCCAAAGGACGTATCAAACTATCTCCTCAAACTCAAAAGTGAATTTAGCAAGGCCACAAAATACAAGGTCAGTATAACGAAATCAATCCTATTTCTATAAACAAGCAATGAAAAACGATGTGGAAATTAAAAAAAAAAAAAAAAACCAGCTCATCAAAAATGAAATATTTAGATATCAACTTAACAAAATACATGTAGGGTCTGTGTACTGAAAACTACAAGACTTTGGTGAAAAAAAGTCAAATAAGACCTTCAGAGACAGTGAGCTATACCATGTTCATGGAATAGAAGGTAGAAATGGAGCATGCTACAATAAGGGACCTCAATACCCCACTCTCAATAAGGGATAGAACAACCAGACAGAACACAAGTGAGGACAAAAAGGAGTAAACAAACCAACTAGATCTAAGACACATATACTGAACCCTCCACCCAGCAACAGCATACACCTTCCACTCAGCACCACTCGGGACATTCCCCAAAATAGACCACAGGTTAGCCCACAAATGAAGTCTTAACAGATTTCAAAAGACAGGTAATATACAAATTATCTTCTCTGACCACAGTGATATGAAGTTAGAAATCAGTAACAGAAGAAAAACTGGAAAATTCACAAAACTGTGGAAATTAAAACACATACTACTAAAGAATGAGTGGATCTGGGGCACTTAGGTGGCTCAGTCAGTTAAGCATCTGCCTTTGGCTCGGGTCATGATCCTGGAGTCCTGGGATCGAGCCCCATGTCGGGCTCCCTGCTCATTGGGGAGTCTGCTTCTCCCTCTCCCTCTGTCCCCCCCCCCGCTCCTTCTCTCTCTCTCTCTCTCTCAAATAAATAAATAAAATCTTAAAAAAAAAAAGTGAATCAGAGAAGAAATCACAAGGGCAATTAGAAAATACTTAGGGACAAATGAAAATGAAAACACAACATAACTAAAATTTATGGGACACTGGGAAAGCATTGCTGATGGGAAATTTGTAGCTATAAGTGCTGACCCTGAAAACCAAGAAAGATCCCAGATCAACAATGCAAGTTTATACCTTGCGGAACGAGAAAAAGGGCAGACTGAATCCAAAGCTAGCAGATGGAAGGAACTAATAAAGAAACAGAACTGAGGGGCGCCTGGGTGGCTCAGTCAGTTAAGCGTCTGCCTTCGGCTCAGGTCATGATCCCAGGGTCCTGGGATCGAGCACCGCAGCAGGCTCCTTGGTCGGCGGGGAGCCTGCTTCTCTCTCTCCTTCTGCCTGCCACTCACCCTGCTTGTGCTCACTCTTTCTCTCCCTCTGTGTCAAATAATTAAATAAAATCTTTAAAAAAAAAAAAAAAAAGAAAGAAACAGAACTGAGACGAACACAACAGATAATAGAAAATAGAGAAAACCAATGAAACCAAAAGTTGGTTCTTCCGAAACATAACAGAATTAACAAAACTTTAACTTAGATGGACTACGGACAAAAGAGTGAAGACTCATATTATGAAAATTGGAAATGGGGCATTACTACAGATTCCATAGAACTAGGATTAGAAGAGAGTCCTGTGACCAACTGCACACCAACAAATGGGATAACCTATATGAAATGGACAAATTTCTAGAAACACAAACCCTAGCAAGAGTAAGTCACACAGAAGTAAAAAATCTGAATACACCTATAACTAGTAGGAGATTGAATCAGTAATCAAAATTTCCTGAGAGGAGAAGCCCTGGACCTGAAGGGTTCACTGAGAAATTCTACCAAACGTTTTAAGCAGAACAAATACCAATCCTCAAACTTTTCCAAACACTGAAGAGGAGGGAACACTTCCCAACTCATTCCAGGAAGCCGGCATTACCCTGATTCCAAAGCGAGACAGAGACACTCCAAGGAAACTACAGACCAATATCCCTTATGAACACTGATGTGAAAATCCTCAACAAAATACCAGCAAAGAGAACTCAGCAGCATGTTAGAGGACTATACACCATGACCAGAAGGACTTACCTCTGGAGTAGAAGATTGGTTCAACATACAAAAACTGATCAACATAAGGCACCACATCAACAGAATTAAGGAAAAATATCACATGATCAATTCAACTGATTCAGAAAAAGTATCTGACAAAATTCAATACCCATTTGTGATACACACACACACACACAAAGAAGCAACTAAGAATAGGAGGAAATTATCTCAATGTAACCAAAGCCAAATATGAAAAACCCACAGTGAATATCATGCTCAATGGTGAGGCAGAAAGGTTTTCCTCTAAGATGAGGAACAAGGCAAAGATGTTCATTTGTGCCACTTCTATTTAACACAGTCGTGGAAGTTCTAGCCAGGGCAACTATGCAGAGCAATAGAGAAAGAGAGAGAAAGAAAGAAAAACACCCAATTTGGAAAGGAAAGAGTCAAATTATTTTGCAGATAATATGATTTTACATGTAGAAACCCTAACAATTCTAGACACACACAAACACACACACACACACACACACACACACTGTGGGAACTAATACATGAATTCAGTAAAGTTGCAGGATACAAAGTCAACACACAAAAGTCAGCTGCATTTCTACACACCAATAATGAACAATCTAAAAAGGAAATTACAGAAATAATTCCACTGATAGCAGCATCAAATAGAATAAAATACGAAGGAATTTACTTAACCAAGATGGTGAAAGATGTGGATGATGAAAAGTACAAAACATTGCTAGAAAAAATTAAAGAAGATATAGATTAATGGAAAAGCATCCCATGTTCATGGACTGGAAGACTTCAGAGTATTAAAATGTGAACACAACCCAACATGATCTACAGACTCAGCAAAATCCCAATCAACATCTCAGCATAAGTTTTTCCAGGTATTAGCAAGCTTGTTCTAAAATTTATGTGGAAAGAAAATGAACAAAGACAGTCAAAACAATTTTCAAAAACAACAAAGTTGGAGGATTCACACTATCTAATTTCAAACCTTAGTATAAAGCTATTGTAATCAAGACTGTGTGGTACTGGCAAAAGGACAGTCCCATAGATCAGTGGAACAGGACAGAGTCCAGAAGTAGAACCACCTAAATATGGTCAACTGGCTTTTTATAAAATTGCAAAAGAAACTCGATGGATAATGGATAATCTGCTTACAAATGCTACTGAACAACTGGACATCCATATTCAAAACAATGAACTCTGACCCACATCTTTCAACTTATACAAAAATTAGCTCAAAATGGGTCATGGACCTAAAAGTAAGATGTAAAACCAGAACACTTTTACAAGAAAAAATGGAAGAAAAATTTTGTGATCTACGGTTAAAATTCTTAGATCCATCACTAAAAACGTAACCCACAAAAGAAATAATTGATAAATTGGACTCTACCAAAACTCAAAACTTTTGCTCTTGTAAAAGACACTATTAATAGAATGAAGGGGCATCTGGGTGGCTCAGTTGGTTAAGCTGCTGCCTTTGGCTCAGGTCATGATCCCAGGGTCTTGGGATCGAGCCCCGCATTGGGCTCCCTGATCAGTGGGGAGTCTGCTTCTCTCTCTGCCTCTGCCACTCCCTCTGCTTGTGCCCTCTCTCTCTCTCTGTCTCAAACAAATAAATGAAATCTTAAAAAAAAAAACAAAAACAGAATGGAAAGACAAGCCAGTGTCTGGTAGAAAATACTTGCAAAGCACATAATCTCATAAAGGACCTTTACCAATATTTTATAAAGAACTCTTGAAACACAGCAAGAAGACAAACAAGTCAATAAAAATGATGTGCAAAAATGGGGCATCTGGGTGGCTCAGTCGTTAAGCGCCTGCCTTCGGCTCAGGTCATGATCCCGGGGTCCTGGGATTGAGCCCCGCATCGGGCTTCCTGCTCGACAGGAAGCCTGCTTCTCCCTCTCCCACTCCCCCTGCTTGTGCTCCCTCTCTCGCTGCATCTCTCTCTGTCAAATAAGAAAAAAAAAATCTTAAAAAAGAAAAAAATGATGCGCAAAAGATTCCAACAGAGTCCTCACCAGAAAATATACACAGACGGGACAGTAAGCACATGGAGAGATACTCAGGTCATTAGGCACTAGGCAGATGCGGACTGAAACCACCACCGTTGGAACGGCTAAGATCAAACACGCTGACAGGAGCTGGGGGTGGGGGCGCGGGGGGCAGCAGGAACTCTCCTACCTGCCAACAGGAATGGGAAACGGTCCAACCACTTGGGAAAGCAGCTTGGTGGTTTCGTAAACTGTTAAATGTATATCTACCAGCCACTGCATCTACCTGAGAGAAACAAAGGCATATTTCCACACGAAGCCTTGTGCACGAATGTTCCTGGCAGCTTTGTCAGTAATAACCAAACCTACAAACAATTCAAATGTCCTGTGCACAGTAAACAAACGGTGGTCGACCCACAGACAGGACAGCCCCTGCATAACACAAGAAGAAACCACTGAGACATTCCAATGCGGGTGAACACGAAAATACTTAATTACGCTGAGTGAAAGAAGCCTGACCAAAAATGCAGATAAGCAGAAAGATGCCATAGTGCACGAGTCCATGTATACAAAACTCTAGGAAATGCGCAATGTCACATTCAGTGACAGGGCAGATCGGAGTGGGTGGGGGGCCGTGGGGACACACAATGAGGGAGGCAGAATTACCAAGGCCTAGGAGATTTGGGGGATGGCAGCTGTGGCCATCATCCTGACAGTGGTGATGGTCTCACGGTGTACACGTATGTTAAACTGCACACTTGAAACGTGTGTTTATTCCACATGAAGCCTTTAGAAAATGAGCTGGACTCCCTGTCACAGGTACGAATAAAATTCAAAAGAGGACACATTATGTCCCCGCAGGGGGGACGCAGCAGGATCAAGGGACAAGGGGGCTGAGAGTAGCCAGAGAAGCAAGACCTGTGCCTGTGAACAGCAAACGGTGCCACTAGGGGCTCGTCCTGGGGACACAGCCCCGGTGGGAGCTACATGCCCCCGCCCCGCACTGAGCCAGGCACTCGCCACCCCTAAGGCCACACGACTGCAGAGCCCAAGGGGCTGCAGCCCCACCCACACGCCCACCCGTGGGCTACAGAACGGACTTTGGAGGTTCTCATGCATTTTGCGGCCACGAGGAGTAACCCTCCACACGGCGTGCCCGTGCAACCCCCAAACTAGAGTCAGGCTGCTGTGTATTATTTTCGTCCTGAAATCAGGAGCGACGAGAGAACAGTCCTCTCACCGTGTGGCCCTCACACCCCCACGTGCTCGGAACCAGTCCAGGTAGAGTAGGGATTCTTACTAACTAAACTACGAAGCAAGCAGCGGATCACATCCTGTGAACACACTGGAACACATCCAGTACACACTAACGCACACTCACGCAAAGGACACTCGGGATACATTTCAAGCTTCGACTTTTTTCCCTTTTAGTTTTTGTTTCTGGTTGCTTTCGTAGGCTCCACGCCAAACGTGGGGCTGGAACTTGCGACCCTGGGATCAAGAGGCACGTGCTCTACCGACTGAGCCAGCCAGGTACCCCTGAAGTTTAAAGTGTTATAAGACAATAGATATAGTACGAACCCATTTTTTATTAAATTTTGGCACCTATATCTACACACACACGCATGTGCAGATATGCAAGCACGTATGTACACGTATGCATGCATATATAAAAAGAGGGGAAGAGGGGCGTCTGGCTGGCCCAGTTGGTACAGCACGCCACCCTTGATCTCAGGGTTGTGAGTTCAAGCCGCACATTGGGTTTAGACATTACCCAAAGGAAAAAAAAAACTGGATGAATATACAGCAAAGTCTCTACGGTCAGATGATCAGTGACTTCTATTTCCTTCCGTGTTCTCGTCTCCACGTTCTCATCCACACAAACACGGCACAGGGAAACATGCACGTTAGGTCCACGTAATGAGCGTGCATAAAGCTGGCTGCGAGCTCCATAAGCACGAGGACTTACCGACACACCGTCCCGGCCACTGCCATCGCAGACCGACACAGCTTTCACCCCCTCTCGGCCAGACCTTCCACTATGACACAAGAAAAGTCAGATCGCGGCACGAAGCCTGAATCTGCAAGCCACCCCCGACTCACTCATCTCTCTCAAAGGTACACAGGCTTCCAAACACGGGGGACGTTAGGTACATCGTCTACCACTTGACGTGGTTAAACGGTTGTCAGCAGAGAGAAGAAAGCAAGAAAACCCAGACAATGCGCAGGAATTGGGAGGGGCTCGGCTTACAGAAGGCACGATCTGCAGGTGGTCTATTTCTGCGAAGGCAGAGGGGTCAATCATTCACCCCGGCTCTCCTTGATTCTAACTCACTGTGCCTGGTTTGGGGTCTCTCACCTCAGGATGCATCTGACCATGCCACCCACGATGCATCTTACAAACCATGGATATTTGACAACCAAGACAATGGAATACTTTGAAAACTGAGCCCAAACACGAGTGCTTCCTCCACGCTCCTGTTCTGTGCACAGCGCATCTACCCCAGGGCACCTGTCTTCACCTCTCTTCCCTATCCTTCCCACAGCCCCAGCACCATTTCTGTGCTGTGTATAATAAACAGGAGATGCTGGGGGACTGTCTCCACACAGCTCTGCATCTGCATGAAGGTAAGGGGGTAGGATTCCCAACTTACTCAGGAGGAAACCATCTACCCTCCATCAGCAGCCATAAGACACACTGTCAATAGTAAAGCCGTAAAAAATATGCGTTACCTCATTATCCAGCGTTAATCCTCGCCGCTTCCCTCCCCCACCCACCCCTAGAAACCGCTGGGAAGGCAGGCTCTGGCACGGCGCAGGGGATCCAGCCAGGACACCAAGCGGAGGACAGCGGGGAGAGGTGTGTGTGCCGCGGAGAGCCCAGCGCCCGACAGACACAGCCCTGGAAACGTGAGCTCCGCAGTTCTTCTCCCCCAAGTAAGACTGCACTCCTCCGGAGGAGGTAGGGCTTGCGTGAGGGGACCTGCCCGCATCTTACGCCAGGTGGCGTAACGGGACCGCGGCGTGTGGCTGTGTGCTCTCCAGCCGGCCTCCCGCTGCAGACAGGCGCCACCCCAGCATCTCAGACCCAGGCCCTCCAAACACACCCTCGCGGGGACAGAAGACCCAGGGTATTTCCATGGACGCACTCCTCCACATTCCCTGTGCCTGGCGGTCTCGAGCCGTGTGACGGAGCGGAGGGCCGGGGGACCAGCCACAGAACGATAGACGCCGCCCAGAACACACACACTCGGGCATTCGACATGGCAACTTTTAATCCAGCCTCTGGTTCCCTCCGCCAGGAAATGGCATCCAGGAACAATGGCCCGTCCAGGGCTTCATGGGCGACACTGGGGCCACATTCTGACTTTGCCCATTTTCTTTAAGACAAACGATCTACATTCTGCTCAACTTGCTCACGTTTGTCCGGGCTGCGCAAAGGACAGACCCTGCACGAAACACCATCTCCAACACTGCTTTTTTTTTTTTTTTTT